ATATAACTACATGTTGCATCTAACGTAAATGAGTATTTTATTTTCCAGGATATTATGGATGAGCACATTTTTTTATTAAATAACAGAAGAACTCTCAATTATATATTTATAATGAACTATAAACCTAATAAGAAAGATCTGTAAGAATTAAACTATTTTATAAAAAAGTATTCTATAAAAATTAAACTCAATTTAGGGATCTAAAAAATTAACTGATAAATTACATATTATTATATTAGAAAGATTCTAACATTCTGTTTCAAGAAAATAATAAGCATGGATATGTAGATTATTTAATAAGCTAAAAATGTGTTCATTTAAGCTCATTTACGCGGAGCAGCAATTTCACATGCATCAACCTTAATAGTAGTCATTCGCATAAACGCGTCGCTCAATTCGCATAATGCGTTTATGCATACAAAATGTATATAACAATTTAGACTGCTAGGTATGCCTCCATTATTTTAAATAATGAACGAGAACATTATTTAGAATGGTTGTTTGGTTGCAAACGTGATAATGCAATGACTACATTATAGTTTTTTCACAGTTACATGATGCATAACCTTGACATAACTATGAGCACATCTTTTATGTGGAATCTTTATATGTTATTCCTTCATATGGAATGCATGTTCATAGAATATTTATTTTATAACTCACTTTCGCTACAAAAAAATTCAACTGAGCATTCAAAATTTGCTACTGTATCGATTTTGACAAGAAAAATTATAGACTGCATTTTTTAAAAAGTGCAAGATTATTACTTTGTATATAAACGTCATTTTGTAAATCATATTTTCGATTATTATTTGAAAGAAATAGAGACAATTGAGAAATATGTACTTTATATTGTATAACTTATTGTTTTTCTAATTTAATACTATAATTCAATTATTATACAGTCGTATACGAACATATGAATTTGGAACGGAATAATTTTCTTAAAATTGCACCAAACAATTTGAATTTTTTTGAGATGATAAGAGGACGAGTTTGCTAGACATGGGCATACAAAAAATTGCAAAAATTGTAATAGGGTGCAAGATGGAAAAAATAAAATATAACTGCTTAAATATGAAATATCAATACTTCATAAGTCAATATCTGCAAATATACTGCAATTGGATGTGACTTATAGCAATTGAAACTAATTCAATTAGAAGTTTTACGTATTAACGATAACATTGTTGCGTAACAATATGTTTACTATCATTTACTCGGTGCAATTTGAGAAATCATAATCATCAGCTATTTCATCAGCTAATCATCACCTTTACACAACATAACAATATTATGTTGTATTTCCATTATCACGAGCGTTCACAAGGAATTCTGAATAATACAAATATTTAGAAATAAATAATAATAAAATGTAATAATAAAACAGATTTTTATATTTTGTTACTGGTGCAGGTACACACAGTTTATAACTTTCATTAAGTATTGCTCACTTTCTTGTGTATTCGACTC